CCCCCCGACAAAAGAACTTCCTTTAAGGCTAAAAGGTTGAGGAAAGTGCAGCGATCTTGAATTCAAAAGTGCGCGAAGTGCGCCTCACTTCTAAATTCATCGCGATCTTGCCAACAAGGGTACAAACATACTCACCTAGCCAGTTAGGCGATGAAGGCAGCGCTGACCTCAATAGCCATTGAAGAGCACTGCCCGCTTGCAAGAAGTACTTTGCCACTCAATGAGTAGCAAGAAGCTACTAGGTGGAGGTCATCGCTACTAGTAACAAGAGGGGCACAACTTTGGAGGGCTACTATGAGCTTAGAGTTGCTCCACCTTTGATCGATGGGTTGGCCATTCCCACTAGGCGCCGTCGGAGGAAACAACGAAAGGATCTGCGAGATCTGCAGGGCTAACAGCAGAGGAATCGTTTTATCTATGCGCCATCAACGAGAACATTTAGAAAGGCGTGCCCATGTGGCGCTAGGGCTATCAAGCTTAGCCCAGCTTGACTTGTGACACAGCATGCTCGAGCCCTTGCCACAATCTCTTGAAATACAATCTGTTAGGTTACAATCTGATAGCGATGGTCTCCAGCCTAGAAGCAATTGAGATTCTGTTAGGTTTCTGCAACAAGTATAGAGTCAGAGAGAGACCCAACCCAACAATCCCAACGTATCGATCGTATCGCAACAAACTGGCCACACCCGTTACAGTGAGGGTGTTCGAGGGTCCGGTCCCGAGACAATTCAAGGAAAGTGACACCAGCAAAGCCAACGTTCAACTGTATGTTCAAGACGCACCTTTTTCCCTCGCGTTCCCGGTTTAATGAAAAAAAGACTGATGAATTCTGAGAAATTGAACATTTTTGAGAACCTTGCCATCGCCAGTCGCTTGGAGGCCATCGCTACTACTGTAGGGTGGAGGCCATTACTACTAGTAGCAAGAAGCTATTAGTACAAAAACACAGCTTTTATTTTCTCTCAACCTTGCATCCATTCTGAACGGTACTAGTAACAAGGGCATCGCTACTAGGAGCTCCTGGCATTACTACTAGTAACAAGAAGCTACTAGTAACAAGGTGCATCGCTAGTAGGAGCAAGAAGCTACTAGTAGCTATTTGCTACTAGTACCTATTTGCTACTAGTAGCGATGCACTTGTTACTAGTAGCTAGGGTTTTTGCAGGCCTTCAGCGTGAACTATGCGGACATTTGCATTCGATGGGGTCTTTATGAATCAGCTCTGCGCTATGTTGGGTGGCCGATCATCCCTGGCTTTGACATAGCAGGCGGGAGCACAGAGTGAAACTGCAAGGCCTTACGCCACATCCGTAATGCCTCAAAGAGCCTCTACTGTGCGCTAGTTGCTGGAGGCCAACCAAAACCATCGACTGCCAACAGGAACTAGACCAATTGGTCAATCATTTTAGCTGAGCGCGACCATGCGCAACCGGAGACCAAACATCAACTGCCACTTGAGGGGAAATCGAGATCGCTGGTGCGGATTCTGGTTTTTCTCCTGGAGACCGAGTCTTCGGATGCAGTTTCTTCGGTGCTTATGCTTCTCGCAACTCGTTGGCAACGTGCTGAGTCGTTTAAGGAACTCATTAAACACCATGGGCAACTATACCCTCGCTAGAAGGTCCAGCACGTCCGTTGGCCTTTTAGGTGGCATGTGAAAAAATAAGTGGCAGAAGGCAAAGTGGACAAAATGAAGATGGCTCGGTTTGGAAGGGGATCTATCAAGCCTATCTTGACATTAAACAGGCCATCGCTATTAGGTTGGAGGACATTGCTACTAGTAACAATAAACGATTTCTGGTAACTATAGAAGCAACAAATGTTGTTCCCTTTGCGCACGTGTTTCATTTGGCCATGTGATATTCTTAGAGCCCAGGTGTGGTGGTGCCGCATTGGCAGGTGATGAAGATGCCTCAAGACATGACTTTTGAGTCCGCTGCGGCACTTCCAACTGTTTTGCTAACTGCGCAGCATGCTGTGAATCTCGCCATCGCCTCGGAACTCGAGGATTCTACTGGTCGCATTTCAATCATCTTAATATGTTTGTTTCTAATAGCAAACATTGTTACTACTAGTAAGGCACCTGTTACTAGTAGCGTGGCACTTGTTCCTAATGGCTTCTTGTTACTACTAGTAAGGCACCTGTTACTTTAGTTATTGTTTTTGTGTTTTTGTGTTTGAAAACAATGCTGGTTTGAGGCGGGAGTTCCTACGCTAATCGGCCAAGGCAGAGCAAGTTGGAGGGAGGATGACTGCAAGACACTGCAAGCAAGTACAAGATAGATTCTTCAAACGTGATGTACTCAAATTCCAAGTGTGAAGGTCATTTCGCCTTGGTGCACTCTGCTGCCGGCGGCGAACTCAATGCCGCTAGATTCTAAAACAATTTGAGATGTTTTGCCAGACTCAAGAAATATTCAGAGCAGTCTTTGCCAGGAGGCGTGGGGGACATGCTTTGCCAGATTCTACGCATTTATGGATTGACCGTTGTTGGTATCGTTGGGAGCCAAAGCAAAGTTCGTTCATGCAAGGCCAGGAATCTGGAACCGGGCCACATTGATGTGAGTGCGCCAGGGCTTTCGCAATGCGGTCCTTGTTGCCTTTCGCAGGCAAATATTGTCATTGACAAATCACACGAAGATTGGGTCGTGGCCCTTGACTTGCAGTGTTTCAATGGATAACCACTTGACATCAATGCTAATTCAGCCTGTTCTGAGGCAAAAGCCGCGCGAAAACATGCACCAAATGGATACCGCGCAGTGTTCGATGCGAATGGTGTAGCCACTTTGAAGGAGCGCAGTATGGCTGTGGTGTTGAAGTGGCAACACACATATCTCATGATAACTCATAGGATGCTCAATGACCTGAGTGATTTGCGCAGGTTTCGTATGATTTACTCAGCAGTCAGAAGCTCAATTGCTGAGACCAGAATGTAAATGACAGTAGCGTATGGTGAGATGGTCTAAGGTTACAAAAAGGAAAGGCGGAAGGAACAAAGAAAGCAAGATATGACAGAAAACAAGAAGAAAAACAAAGATATGCTATACGGATGACAGAAGAAGCATCAGGAAGTGGCAGGCTTATCGTGTGCAGGGCTCAGAGACTGCAAGCTTGCATTGAAGAACTGCAACGAACTTCCTTTGATGAAACGATCTTATTTAATTTACAATGAACAATAGTAATAGTATTTATTCCCGTCCTTCTTTCCTTAGTTTCTTTCTTATGTTGTGTGTTCTTTTCTTTTTAAGGCTTGTCTTTTTTCTTTGCGCTCTTCGATTGTTGAAATAGACTGATTGCCAATGAAGGTATGGCTTTCACTCCAATTTGCCCAAGTGTGACGGAAGCTCGCTGGGAACGCTCTCCCCGCTTCATTGGCTTCGGATGGCCATAGATTTGGCCAGAACACCTCATTTTGTTGCTCGGCAGATGTTGCCAATGTCCTCCCATGTCTCAATGGCATGCTGATCACTTGTCGACCCCACGGCACAGCATTCTCATTTGACTTCCTGAGGACCCCATGTCTTTGACTTTGGACTCCAAAGCAGTCCTGGGTTTCAACTTGCTCCTTGGACTAGTAACGTGCAAAGAGCATTTACGGCACGCAACTCAACAAGCACTCTCTAACAATCATACACTTCGCCTCCACTCTTTGTTGCATTCAAATTTATGTTTTCATACCCACCTCCTAGCCCTCGAAAATTTCCAGGGGTACCCCCCAAGAAAATGATGACATATTTCAGTTCCACCCCCTGGTGTCGTAGTGTCGTAGTGAGCACTGCCTTTCGGGCTTCTTCTTTAGCTTCTTGTTACTACTAGTAAGGCACTTGTTACTAGAAGCGATGCACTTGTTACTACTAGCTTTCTTGTTACTACTAAGAACGGTGCGGGGGTGAGAAAAGACGTGTGAAACCAAGTCAAACGGACAAATGCCGCACCCGTATGCGCCCCTCCCCATCAGTGCAGGAACTGGATAACATGGGAAAAGTGCAAATTAGAGAATCGATTTAGTTTCGAAGTCCAAATTTCAACCTGGTAAAGGCAGCTTTCAAAATTGTTCCCTGTTGGCTGCATCGAGGATTTGAAGCAGCTTCTCTCGAGAGCTATTAAAGTCAACTTTCGCTATGACGGATATGGTTCCAAATCAAAACCAATGTGTTGTGAGTCCACTGTTTGCCGGAAGCCCCGCGCAAGCATTGGCGGAAGCAAGTCATGAGTAGAACAGATCGCAGACCGGTTTTTGACACCGATCAAGTGTTTTGTTTGTTTCATGTTGTTCGTTTTTGTTCAGGGGGGTCCAGCTGGAATATTTCAGTTGGACGGGGTCCTCCACCCTGGAGGTGGGTGGTGGTGATTTTGCTTGTTCCTAATAGCTTCTTGTTACTACTAGTAAGGCACCTGTTACTACTAGCGTGGCACTTGTTCCTAGTAGCTTCTTGTTCCTACTAGTAAGGCACTTAGTTCTTCTATGTTCTTCTAATGAAGAGCTGCCCACTTCGGTGTGCTTTGGCTTTGCTATTTGCTAATTTTCAACTCAATGCGGGCGACCAGAGCTGAACGGTCAGTCTTAGTTTGTTGCACCTGAAAAGTGTCTTGCTTGAATGTATCTCCATGTCCTTCACATCGATAAAATTGTAGCTACTGTGGCAGCTGCTATCATGAACCACTCAATAGCAAATTTGCAGCACAATCTGGTGCTTTCATGGTTATACAATGTGTTTTTTTTCCGAATTGCCGGTAGGCGGGGAAGGGCATGGAAAGGCACTAGCACTGTGGGCAACCAAGCGTAAAAATTGGCTATATAGTGAAAGCCGAAAGCTATTTCTAGGAGCAAAGGGCATCGCTACTAGGAACAAGAAGCTACTAGGGGCTCTTGGCCTTACTACTAGGAGCAAGAAGCTACTAGGAGCTACTTCGCGCTTTCAGCTGTTGCTGACCTAGTTGAAGCTGTTCTGTAAACGGTCTTGGGACCGGTGCTGCGTAGGAGGCCGCGGCATGTCCGCTGGCCTTTTGGTCGGGGTTTGGTGTGCATCGTGTTCGCTCTTACAGCGGGGAATACTGGCTTTCAGGAGTTGCTTGTTTCATTGAGGAACTGACACGTTGAATTTTGAAAACCGTCTAGGTCCTAGGTAAGTAGAGCTTTCTGGAGAACAGCATCCAAAGGCAGATAGTTCTAAAGAGGGCAGTGGGGACCAGTTGAGAGTACTAGAGGGCAGTTAAGAGAATGAGTCGGGATCTCGGAAGAGGAGATTTTGCTCAGTCTAGCAAAACTTGGTTTCTGACCGCACCACACCACTTCATTAGCCACATCACCAGTGATTACGCCCGACCACATCACAAATCACACCGCACGAGCCATAGGTCACATCACTCCAACCTAATAGCGATGGCCTCCAACCTGATGGCCTCCAACTTAGTAGCAATGGCCTCCAGCCTACTAGCGATGACCACCCACACTTCACTGCACCGCATCACACCACCCATACATCACCGCATTGCGCATTGCAAAATTATGAACACAGTGCTAAAGCGGCTGTGACGGTCTGTGCAAGAATTTGTTCAGAGGATTGCTTTTAGGAATAACTCAACGTATTGCGAGCGGTGACTTTCATCGAACGGGTGTTCTCCCAAAGTTGGTCAATGAATCAGGAAATGTCGCCAGCATGCGAGGTATCAAACCTGTACTGTACGCGAAGACGCCGCATTGAAGTAGTAGCCTACCATCTAAGAAGGGCGGAAGTATTCTTGTTTAGAAACATCTACCGTTTTGCGAAGTCCTTTTTGGGGGCAGCAGTGAGTCCAGGACTTGTTATCATTTGCCATGCATTTGCCAGATTGGAAGGGGTTGGTAGGATCTTTGGTTTGGCTTTTTGGAAAAGGTTCGTCTCCGGCAATTGGCGACACAGTTCTCTCAAGGTTTGAGTGTCAGGCCATTTCTGATAGGGATGACGAATTTGCAGGCAAGATTTTGAGTTCTTCCTAAGGAGCTTCTTCTCAGACGAGATTGAGACAGGGCAGAAGTACTTGTCACAGATGCAAGAATGGATTCAAAGTAGAAAGATCGAAGTGCCACCAATTAGCACCTTTGACTTTAGCCATATTCGGCAGGCGCACAATGCGCTGACCTCGGGTCAAAGCGTAGGAAAATTAGTTGTAAAGTTCTGAGGAGTCGTTGACGCTGCATTGAGAAAATAGAACTAGGGGCAAGGATGCTGCTAGGGGCTCCTGGCCTTACTACTAGGAGCAAGGACGCTACTAGGGGCTCCTGGCCTTACTACTAGGAGCAAGGACGCGACTAGGAGCAAGGACGCATCGAGAAAATAGAACTTGTGAAAACCCTATGTTGGTCACCAAGTGAGACTGTTGGCAACAGCAGACTCATTTGTGACACAAGAATTGAATGATGACTGACTCAGCTAGGAGGAACGCCGTAGTGATGAACCTGCAAAACAGAAAGCCACGATCAACGATCATCACTACGTGATTTCCAGGAGCGGCTCTACGGGCTTTCAAACCCTCAGGGCAACCATGGCGAGGATGTGAAGGAGAAGCGGTGGGGCGTAGCCAGGTAATGCCGGGCAAAGGAGGCGTTCTTTAACAACATTCTGTTTACCGTACTGCGATTCTAACAAAAAATATATTGTTTCTATTTTTATTTCTGTAGGCTGTTCACCGCTCCTTTTTTTGGTGCCGAACCTTTGGAGCAGGATAGGTACACGGTAGAATTGCCGTCAAAAGCTACCATAAACCCTTTGTCCTTTGCAAACCTCTAAGTGTACAGCAATGGCCTCCAACCTACCAGCGATGGCCTCCACTTACTAGCGTCCTTGCTACTAATAGCTGCTGGAGTTTGTAGCGAAGTATCGAGAAGGAGAAGCTTTGGAGCTCTGAAGCTTCCCTGACCTAGACCCCTACTATACGGGTGGTGTCAGGGTTGAGCAAAGTAGAGATCCAAAAGGAAGCTTCTAGGAGGCACTGAGACGAGTCGGTACTCAGCGATCCAGATTGGGAGGAAGAATCAATTACTTTTAATTCTAATTACTTTCTTCTTGTTACTAGTAGTAAGGCCCTTGCTCCTAGTAGCGATGCCAGGAGCCCCTAGTAGCTTCTTGTTACGTCAAATTTAACACCACGAAAACATGAGCGGGGCCAAGGATCGGCCGAGCAAGAAGGAGTAAAACTAAAAGCGATCACCTCGAACCCAAGAGCGATGACCTCCAACCTAATTACTAGCAAGGGGCAAATGAATCCAAGACCAGAGCTGACAGAGCTTGCACCCCAAGAGCAAAATTCTTCGGTTCGGGAACACCCAAGTCCTCACGATTCCCAGAGGAGCTGTACTACTATTTGGATGCTACGCCGACACACAGCTACATGAAGATGATGTACAAGTATCCGCAGGTGTGCTCATTGGCGCCACTGAGCCTTGAGACAAAAGGAATGTCACTAGTAGCTTCTTGTTACTAGTAGCGATGCCAGGAGCTGCTAGTAGCGATGCCAGGAGCTAGCGTTCTTGCTACACCTACTGGCAGTTTACTTAATGAAATACACGCTGATGGTCACCTGTCCATGTGATGTTTCGCAAACAGGCAGAGTTTCCATACGACGAGTTGCGACGAGTCAACTTTGAAAGAAAGAAGGATCCGATGCTTTTGTCGCTTATCAGCACCTAAGCTACTAGTAACAAGTGCATCGCTTTTAGCAACAAGTGCCTTACTACTAGTAACAAGAAGCTATTAGAAACAATAGAAGGCGATCTCAAGTGTAAGTATATTATAGAATTCGGGTTGCTAAGTGCTTGTATGGTCTTGCAGCGCCGCAGGGAGTACGAGTTGCTCGACACGGGAATCATGGATGACGACAAGTATTTTGATGTTGTGGTGGAGTTTGACCCTGAGCTTTGTGCAAAGAAAGTTTAAAACAATAATGTCCCAAACCAGTTTGGGTTTGGCCAATGACCCGCTGCACCTGCTCCACTGACTTTTGCGTTTGTGTTCGTCTTTGGGTTTGTTTCTGAGGTATGCTCAAGGTGAACCAGATGACACTCTGGCAGCTTCGTCATACAGAAAAGGGACAAGTCGCGAGGTTGGTATGTTTGCCGCACGTTGAATTCCCTAAAATATAATAGAGAAAGAGAGAGAGAGAGGGAGCTCTTCTCCTCCTGTCCTTTTTCCATGCGTTTGAGGTGCAAATTACGGCCTACAACCGTGGAAACGAAGAGGCAGAGCTGTGCCTCTTGCCTCAGGCAGCCTGCGCAGAACAATTCACAGTTTGGTGATGTTTTTTTCACAGTTTGGAGGCTTGGTTCCGCAACACTTGGTCATGGAGTTCCACTTCCAAGAGACCAAGTATGTCTTATGTTCCAGATCAACGGAGGATAGAGATCTTGTCCAGCTGGCATGATTAGTTTTGAATGCTTTGTTTCCCTGGTTTTGCCGCAACGGCCCGAACGCAAACTCCGGGAATTGCAACTGAAGCCCTCCGTATAATTGTTAACAAGTGCATCACTACTAGTAGCTTCTTGCTACTACTAGTAAGGCACCTTGCTAGTAGTAGCTAGGGCATCGCTTCTAGTAGCTTCTTGTTACTAAGTAGTAATGCCCGGTTAATGCCTTCTTACTAGTAGCGATGCACTTGTGAACAATGTGCCGAAAGATGACCCCTGACCGTGGGACACAAGGGGCTGGACGTGTCCCGAATGGATCAATTCACAAATCCACCCTTGCAAACACATGACCTTGCGTGGCCATGACCCTTTCGTGTTGAAGGCACAAAAAGGACAGAAGCTTATTCCAGAATTAGTGGATCCGAACATGTTGAGCTTGGGTGGCTCAACCTGGCACCCAACATACAGTTAACCAGCCTCGAATCAAGACCTGTGGCATTTACCGAAGAGTTGCTCAACCTCGCACTGGTGTATATGTTGAGATGTTTGTCAACAAGCAAGGAGGGAAGGAATGGAAAGAAGGAGGGTGTATAAAGACCTAAAGGGGAAGACAATTACGCAGGAAAGGAATAACCTAGGTGTTGATGCTACAACTGCCAAATAACGAACTACTGTACAAACAGTTTCCCACAGGTCTTTCACAACAAGTGGTACAATGTTCTGATCACTGGAGGTGTGCAGGGTCATTTGTATGGCAGCAGAATCTGTTCCTGTTTGTGTAGGAGCAAGGACGCTCCTACAAACTCCTGGCATCGCTCCTAGGGGCTCCTGGCCTTACTACTAGAAACAAGAAGCTACTAGGGGCTCCTGGCTTGATCACCAAAATCTGATTGTGTGATGTTGAAGACCAAGATCAACACATGTCCAAGTTGAAAGCTTGAGGCGGATTTCCTCACGACACATGGGCGAGATTAATCCCAAGAGCATGCAACGAAATGGGTCAGTTGGAGTCACTATATAAGTAAATCAATTTGTCATGTTTGTTCTATTGAAATCTTTAGACTCTCTTTTCTTTCCATGTGTTTATTTTTTCTCTACGGCATTTCTTCCTTTCTTTCTGTTTGTCTTCTGTTTTCTTTAGACATACTTACACTCGCTTCTTTTCTTATTCCAAGAGCAACCGACAACATGGGTCAGTTGGAGCCTCTCATTCCACAAAAGGGTTTCTGACAACCGACGATGTTGTTTGTTGTTTCGCTCTTGCTACTTCCTACTTCCGCTAGCTACTACTAGTGTATGCCGGTATTGTAATTGCTACCCGTAGCCGGGACAGCAAAGTAAACAAGCTCAAAGAGAGTTCTATGGTGCAATGTTTGCCATCACTATTAGGTTAGAAGCTACTAGCAACAAGTGCATCGCTACTAGTAGCTAGAAGCTACTAGTGCTAGAAGCTACTAGTAGCTATTTGCTACTAGTACCTATTTGCTACTAGTAATAATGCACTTGTTACTAGTAGCGATGCACTTGTTACTAGTAGCTAGAAGCTGCTAGTAACAAGGCCATCGCTAGTAGGTTGGAGGCAGAAAACAACTCGTAGCGCAATGTTTCACCGGAGCCGTGCTGCGTTCGGTAAAACCGGCCAAACAGATGTAAAACGTGTTTTCTTGCTAATGGACAGCGTGTACTTGACAACAACGCTTCCAGGCACGAAAAGCTTGGCTCATACAACCTCTATGTGGATGAAAACACAGAGGCGGGCCAACGGCTTTGTCACAACTGGGACTCAGTGCAGCAAGATAACGGAGATACAAAAGTGCAATACTACGTTGGCTAAGTATCCAACTTGATGTCAAGAAAGCTTTTTTGGTCCAGTGATCCTGAAAGCTGCTCCCGTTTTCATGTTGCTTTGGTGCAGCCTTGCATGCTTAGTGGACCGTTATTTTCAGCCACACCCACCCTACAGCGCTACGGCTAGATGGACAGATCTTCACCCACGAGTTCTTTTGAACGAAAGAACCAAAACAGTTTCACAAGGTCAATACAACAAGTGACACAAAAGTGCTGTGTTGAATGGCCCTTTTTTCATGTTGGGAGTCACGTTTGCATGTTGAAGGAAGCGCGGTGCCAAGATTAACAGTGACATTTTTCTTCTTTAAACACCTAGCAAGCAACACATATCTTATGAAGAAGCTATTCTTCTTATTGAACTCATGTTCTGTTTGCTCAGCATACCGCCTTACTTCCGATCTAACCCTACCCTAGTTCCACATAGTTGTTCAAGCAACAAAGCACGTACCATCAAGTACCATTGGTCTACTTTGAAGTTTATCCCCGCAAAAAAGACAAAAAGGCGACTCTACCTCTTTACAAGAGCTTTTTTCATTTGTACGTTTTACAAGGATATGTTTGGCACGCCTTCAAGATGTTTCCACCTGAGAAAGTTGAGTTGTAATTTTGGCATGGTAGGCAAGCCTTCTTGGTTGTACCTTTTGAATTGCCACCAGTTTCTTCTGGCCAAGGCAATTCAGGTATCGTTAAGAAGAATGGAACAAAACAAGGCTAAACAAGGTGGACTTGGTGGACTTAGAAGATAACAAACGGGCGTGTTATTTTTATACGGGTTCATATGGTTCCATGTCTTGCTTTTCTCCATGTTCTTGAGCTCCGAAGCTGTCGAGAAGCTCCAATTGAGACACACTTCGCTCTGGTGAAGGTGATTTTCTGCGAGAATGACACCCATGATGCTCGAGCAACCTTCGGTGCTTTGAGCCCCTACAAGGCCGTCGGTGTTTCCTTTGGCCAAAACGATGCAGAAGCAAACCGAATAGAAGCGATGGCCTCCATGCCCTAGTAGCGATGCCCTGTGTTACTAGTAGCTTCTTGTTCCTAGTAGAAAGGCCAGGAGCCCCTAGTAGCGTCCTTGCTACTAGTAGCAATGGCCTCCCACCTAGAAGCGATGCTTGTTGGTGCCAAACTATTTCATTGAAGCCAATGTTTGCGATGCAATGGATGAGTTGGTGCGTCAGGAATCCGAGCCTGTCTCGCAGAATGAGGCAGTTGATCTTACACAGCTTGGTAGAGGAAACCAATGCAATGGTCTCAAAAGAAACAAACTATATAATATATATATATAGGAACCGAGCCATTTAAGCCCGAGCCCTTCCGCTTCCAAGCCTAGTAGGGCTACTTACTAGTAGCTACTTCCTTGGGCCTACCCCGCCAGAGCTACTGTAGATCTTTAAAGCAATGGCCAAACCAATCGATCATGGAGCCTGGGGACCTTTTGTTTCAGCGTGGGTTGCGTTATCTCGCGTACCAGCAAAGGCAAGTCAGTCTTGGGTTCCCCCTAAAGGCGCTCGGTTTTTATGTCGCTAGGAACAAGTGCATCGCTAGTAGTAACAAGTGCCTTACTAGTAGTAACAAGAAGCTAGTAGAAACAATAAGCTACTTCGCCTCGTGAACTCAATAAACAGGTTGAACTGAGACGCCTCCAGGAACCAAATCAATCATGCGAAGAGAACTTCCTTGAAGCAGGAACAGAGGGTGCGTCCTAGGTCCTTAAGCCTAGGAAGCTACCTAAGCTACTGGTCTTGCATCTGACGTGTTGGCTACTTGTAAGCTAACTCCTCTTTACCGGGTCAACCTCCCCCAACAAAAGAATGACTTCTTTGGATTCAACATGTTTTAAATCTTTCTGAGTTTCCTCATGCTTCCTCCATGCACCTGGCCATACCTTGCCTCCAGACGCTCAAAGAGTTGGGCGACTTTCGCGTCCTCAGCGCAGCGGGGTGGCATGCGATTCATCGCCGTTTTGAGACCCGCCTCGGACCTGCTCCTGACGGAGTCCGGGCCTTTGAGGTGGAAACGCTGTGGAAAGAGCTGAGTTCCGTTGCTTCGTCAAGCCGATTCCGTCTATGACGATCTTTTGGATTGATCAGTCTTGGAACCGATATGTGTCGGTCTTCTTTTTGAAGATGTATGTGAAAAAAGCGTTAAAATGGATCAGAGTTTGCCTGAGGCTCAGGAAACCGGAAAAGATCAGGGCTACCGCTTTCATTTGAGTGGCCGCAGCACTGGGCACTTCAAGGCACAAGACTCAAAGGAAAAAGAACAAAAGGAATCTTAAAGCTTCTTGTTCCGTTCGTAGCAAGAATGCTCCGTTCGTAGCGATGCCAGGAGCCCCGTTCGTAGCGTCCGAACGCTCCTAGTAGTAAGGCCAGGAGCCCCTAGTAGCTTCTTGCTACAAGAAAGACAAAAGAAGATCACACGAGTAGCCTCCAACTCAATAGTGATGGGTTCCCAACCTAAGATCGATGGCATCCTAGACAAAAGAAGATAAAAGGGACTTCTTTGTTCTTTTCAGACATGAATAATGAATAAATAGCATGCCGTTCCAGAGAAGCACGATGCCACAAGAGCCTTTGTCGAAGTCCAAGAGGATGGATTCCACGATTATGTGATCCGTGGAGACAAGGCGTTGGAGCATGTTGTTTCAAGGTTTGTGCACATGTTGTTTCGATAATCATGCAGTTGTTTCGAGGTTTTTCTTTAGTCAAAACGCAGTTCAAGAGTTCTACGCGGGTGCATGCAAAGACGTGGACGTTTCCAACGTTTCCAAACAGGCAGCGGTGTCAAGCAGTGGCGGCACAAAGGTAGGCTTGCTGACAAGGCCTTGGGACATCTTGGAACATCCAGCTGTCAAGGGCACGGCCAAACAGGCAGAAAGGATTACTGTCATGTTGTAAAGAGGGCTCTTTTACTGGAAATACCAAGCAGTAGCGTGAATGCTTGCCTCGAAAGGAAATGGGAACAAAACAACAAAGGTCTATAGAAAAGGAAAGGTCAGGGTCCTGCTGTTGTGGCTGAAGCTTTCAATTCAACCGGACTGAGCTTCCTAAGTGAGGCACAAAGTGGCCGGAGGCAGTCATGTGACTGCAAGACTGCGCCTGACCCATTCAAGCAAAAGCCCGTGTCTCAAGATGATTCTTCAGCATCCATCCTCCTCGACTTGAAGTCATGTGCCCACATGAGGTTTTGACAGGAGCGCCTTCGCTGATTTTAACATGATGTTTCAACACCGGAGAGAAGATGCAGACAGGTTCGGACTGCAGGGGCACTGCATGGCACTGTATGGTGCTTCACACTCCTGGTAAACATCGCAGACACTCTCAGGTTCTATATGTTCCTCCAAGATGACATACATTCTGAAGAACGAAGACTCATTCACCGGCAGGCAAGGCATCTTACCTGCATGAAGCATGCTGGGCCGGCAGGTTTGTCAGCAAGTCAATTCAGCAGGCGTTTCCCTAAATCATGAGGTTTTTGATTGCAATTCGAGGCAAGAGTCTTAAGCAATGCAAGTAATTAACTAGAGTTGAAAGGCTTGATCGATGAGCGTTGCAAAAAAAATGTGCAGGCGACTAGGAAGGCAGACATCACTGCGAACAGCAAAAGCACCTCAGCCATCGCAGCCAAAAGTCTCAGCTGACTCTTCTGGCTACGATGACCTCCAACCTAATAGCGATAACCTCCAACCTAATAGCGATGGCCTCCCACTGTAGCTTGTCGGCCATCAAATGCGGAGGTGCACAGGGCCCCCAACTTAATCTCATGTGAATACGAGACATTCACCACCCATTGTGACCAAATGACTTGACCCATGTCTGGGTACACATTTTGGGAAGGAGTTAAAAGAACATGTAAGAAAATGGGAAAGTCCAAACTTGATAACAATGCAAGGTAGAAAAGGAAACACTTTGTTGGAGGCCAACGTTAGTAGGTTGGAGGCCATCGCTAGTAGGCTGGGTGCCATCGCTAGGGTGAGAAGAGGATAAACTTTGTTTGAGGCGCTTTTACGTGTATTCAGGTGCTGGGATACTCAATCCTCCAGTCCTTAGGCTTCCGCAGGGGTATTGAATTTGTTTATTAAATTTATCTTTAGACCTTTAGACCAGTTTTCCGTTTTCGTTATTTTTTAAAGACCTTTCTTTGTTCCTCCCTTCGTTCTTCCTTCCTTTTCTCCGATAACCCTCACTTCCCTTGTTTTTCCTTGAAGATTGCATCGGAACAGCATACAACACCGGAGCAGTCATGGGGTATATAATTTGGTACATTCAGATTTGCAAAGCTTGAAGTTCAAGATTTAGGACCCTTGCCATTCAGGCACTTGCAGGGATGGTTTGGACAAAGCAGCTGCTTGGCAGACTATTGGCAGAATCAGAGTGGACAGATTCAGACTATTGGCCTTGCCCAAGGCTGTATTACTATGACATCCGTACTTGGCTGCAAGGCGCGCAGAAAAGACTGCGAAGCAAGTGCGTAGAATGAGACTGCACCATTCACCGCAATGCTTCTGTACAAGGCACTTGAGGGCTTCCCCCAAAGAAAGTGATTGGATGTCTTGATGTTGCCAAGTTTACAATTCGGCTGGCAGACCATACTAAGACTCCTGGAGGCAGCTTCCAAATAGCTCCAGAAATGTCGTTCGTTTGGCAACACCATTATGTTGAAAGCTATTAGGTTGGAGGCCATGTCCATGTAGGAACAATTGCAATTGCGTTCGAGGCGATTCAGGGTATCCTAAGCCACCAAGTCGCGGCTTGCGGCCCAGTACACAATTTACAAAGGAACAAGTAAAAAAACAAATATTCAACCAAACATTGTTTTCTATTTAACAAAGGAACACCTTGTTCTTTTTCAGTATGCAATTTACAAGCGGACAACCACCTCAACACTTCACACAGCTCTTCCACAGAGGAGGTCGCAACGAAGACTGGGATCACCTCTACAACTTGGATGTGATCTCGATGCCGGTGGGAATGGAAGACACGTATAGAGACATAATGACGCATAGACATATTTGCATGTTTGGCATGAAAAACGAGAAAGCAAACATTTATGACTCGACAAACTTGACGCTGACACGTTGGTTGATGCTTTTCATTGACCAAGGACAAGTGGGAATATCCTTGGTACGCCACTTGGGTTTGTCCCCCAGAACACCACAGTAGTTGTAGCACATACACGACATCCAGGCGGAGTCGGTTTTGTGCGTTTGAGGACTTAGCTTTTCATTGCTTACCTTTGGCCCTGGTGGATGCGACTTTTGCGAAGGACAGCACCGCACCATTTTTATGATATTGGTTGATGAATGAAACATTGAATGCCAAAGAAGTGTTGGCGGGCTTATATAATAGGAGGATGAAACATTTGCAGCGTCATTAAGCCTTCAAAAACGTGCAAACAAAAGGGTTGGAGGCCATTGCTAAAAGGTTGGAGGCCACCGCTACCAGTTAAATGTTCTTAAACTCCAGGAAACAAATCATACATTACTCCGAGCACTTCTTCAAGGAAGCTTCCCCCGCCGCCTTTAGGGCGTCACACAAAACTTCCTTGAAGAAGCGTGAGCTATCTTGCATCCGTTTGGTAGGAGCGTTCTTGTAGCTATTAGCTTCTTGTTACTACTAGTAAGGCACTTGTTACTACTAGCGTGGCACCTGTTACTACTAGCGATGCACTTGTTAGCCTAGCTACCGTTTGCTCCTACTAGCTAGCTATCTACCGTTTGCTACTTCCTACCTCACCTCTAGCGGCCTACCCCCCCGTCTGTAAAAGAACAAACCGATGTGACGAGGAGCAGTTGCGCCTATTGACCTCTGAAAGGCCAAATTCCGTCCGTATTTTTGTTGCTTGGCATATTCCTACTGCGTCTCGTTCTTTTGGTGAGGTTCATGCATCCCAACGGCCAGCTTCCTGCTTATGAATGGAATTTTAACGACGTGAACCCTCCAGTTCATGTCAGGAAGCTCAGGGAACTCGACTTGACCTTTTCTTTTTCGTAGCTAGAAACTACTAATAACAAGTCGCTACTTGGAGAAAAGGGCATCCCTACTAGGAGCAAGAAGCTACTAGTAGCTCTTGGTCCTTTGTGATGTGCCTGGAAGGGTTTGATCGGTTTCATCGTAAAGGACAGTAATTCCCCGACGACGTGCCATAATTAGCACAGAGCTAATTACGGAGGTAAACAAAGAATGGGTTGCAACTCTTTTGAGATGACTCAGCAGCACAGGAATCCCGAGATATATGAAAATTTGGACATGCCCATCGTTTGGTGAAGACGAGTAGCAGTAGCACGCACTGCCTACGATAGCACACTGTTTGCGGAAAACGCCATGACATGCAATGCCATGCGCATCCAGGCATGGGCTGTCTGGCGCGTCTTCCAGATGGATCGGAAGAACCGTGGTGATGCTGGCGACCTAGGTGGGCAAGCCTGGTGATCATTACTAGGTTGGAGGCTACCGCTCTGAGGTTGGAGGCGGCCATCGCTACGCTAAAGGATCACTAGAGAGAGTTTGGCGATTTTTTAGCAAGGACCTTCCATGAAGAACCCTGTAAGAGATAGTATAATGGTACATGTTTGATGCCAAGTAAGCACTTTAACGACGTACTGGACGAGCAGAACACCTAGAATAATATATGTCGCCGTGTGAAAGCAAGTCAGTCTTTTGGTGTCTTAGTTTTGACCGTTGTTCACAGTCTACTTTCGGGGACGTGCTATTCTGTTGGCTCAATTTGTTCCAATGTTCACCCATCATATGTCTAATCACGGCCATTTTTGTTATTGGGGTTTGCTAGTAGACATTCATCAAGCTACTAGTAGCTCCTGGCATTACTAGGAACAAGAGGACGCTACTAGTAACAGGTGCATCGCTATTGGTAACAAAGGGCGTTACTAGTAGCAAGTATGGATCAAGGCTCCAGGCCCACAAGCGATCCATAATCCATACCCCTACTGCGCCTCGCTGATGTATGGTCGAATCCGCTGTTTGCTATTTGTGCTTGCTAAAAGAGGTTTCCTGGAAGAGCTCTTCCACAAGATGATGCCGGGAGCACAGGAGAAGTTGGTGAGCACAGGAGAAGTTACTGGCCTTACTACTAGGAGCGTTCGGACGCTACTAGGGGCTCCTGGCATCACTACGAACGGAGCAAAGAAGCAAGCTTGCAAATTGCTCAGTTGATCATTCTTTAGGTTGAACTTTCAGTGGTGGGTGAATCGGAAGGATGCCGAGGGAAGGCGACTGGTCATAGTTCTCGTTCGAGAAGCCGGTCATGGGCTGCTGTTGAAGCCGTTCATCTAATGTTCCCACCTTTACACCGGAAGGAGGATGCGTTTGATGTTGATCTCTGCAGGAACATTTTTCAAGGAGGATTTCTGGGCTGGCAGCTTGAGATTCACGGGTTTTGTATGGCTTTGTATGGTTTGGTGATGTTCTGTGCTGAAGCAAAGTTTCTGCGTTACAGCTTGTTTTCAGTGCAAGGAGTTTAGACTCTAGACGAGTCCTCTAAGGTTTGGACAACATCGGAGTTGTGGATAGAAGCCAACCTTTTCCAAATGGTGAGCACAAAGCAACACCTGCAACACGTGCAGTAGTTTCTTCTGTTCACAACTTTTGCTCCTTGGCGTCAACGGCTGTTCTATCTGATAAATCTTTCAGGTGGGATGATCAACCAGTCTGACGGCACGAGCTGGATGGCGTTTTACAGTGCGCACTTACTTGTGCAAATCGTTGTTCTTTGTGCAAGACGCCATTTGTGTGTTTCTTGTATGTTGGACTAATTTGCTCCTTTCTGCCTGATAGAATTGCCACCTTCTGGTGCTAGGTCTGACACTGATGCGGATGGCACTGGAACTGGCATTGAACAATCCTGTGTGAGCCAAATGAAAGCAAAAAGCACTTCACAAAGCCCGCATTAATTGAACACAACCTCAGGTACGAGAGCATTGCTTGCAAATTTGCAGAGCATTTTTTGCTGATTGCAAGGGAGAATGCCTCAGCTCTTCGGACTGTTCTTCCTTTATTCCTTTAATTGTTTCTACTAGCGATGTCCTCCAACCTAATAGCGATGGCCTCCAACCCAAGAGCGATGTCCTCCAACCTACTAGCCATCTCCTCCAACCTAATAGTGATGGCCTCCAACCTACTAGTGACGGCCTCCAACCTAAGAGCGATGGCCTCCAACCTAGAAGCGATGGCCT